TTTATTTGAATCCCACCACTGGACAGAACATACAGAAAACACCTGTATGGAGTATATGAATCCTTCTTTCAAAGTGATTGCAACGTTTTCTCTCTAGTTCTCATAGCAATCAATAAACATTTAGATACCCTGTCAGTAATATAAGTGGATGCACTTCAACATCAATTCTCAAACATCAAATGATGCTCCAACCATTGAACGGAAGTTCATCCAGAAGAATAAATTTTATTTTATCCTAGTCTCAATGTACTGACTTTTAAATTACAGCCTATACAATACACTTAGATGAAGTGTCTAAATGTCGGGGGAGGGGGGGGGAGAGACCTGTTGTGAAGAACAAGTGATGACAGGGAGAAACTGAAGTGAAATCCTCTGGTTGGCCCTAAGGATGACCTTTCTTTGAGGGAACATATGCCTCAGTAGGTGTTGTGGCCAAGATTGGAAAACATCCTATGACATAAAGAATGTAATTATAATTCTTGTGTTCCAAGCTCTGGTTAGGCTACCCTAGATGCTGGAAATGTGGTGGGAGGATGAAAAAGAAATAAGTATCTCAAATACCTATTTAACAAAAATAACTACAATTTCCTTCAGAAAAGGAATGGTCATTTGCTCAAAACATCTCTAAAGTGATTTATATATCAAATGATTCTAATAATGGGGAATTAGTGGTATTATTGTTGAAAAAACAGAGTCCATTCTCCCCACCCCACTGTTTGCAGTGAATCTGTGTTTGGATTAGATTCCAGAGAGATGTCTAAGAATGGCATCCTGTACAAAGCTGCAAGGAAGTATAGCTCACTTTCCACAACAAGATATTGTTCAGAATAAACAGGACAGATTCATCTATAAAGCAACCATATCTTGCAGGGCATGTGCCATGAAATGCTTGGCTGGTCAGCTCTAATGCTGAAGTAATATTGTGGGGAAAGCATTGCTTACAGACATATTTGGATATGTCAGCTTTCAAAACTGTTCTCACAACTCACATCACATTTCTGCACTGGTAAATGTGTTAAAACATGATTTCAACATTTTCCTCTTGGCAGATAACGTTCAAAACTGGCCTTTGTCAGTGGGGAGAGACTGTACTGGCCTTTGTTTTCATAGACCAGTCAACCAACCAACCAATACAAAACAGCACCGTTGCTAATGCAAATGTCATTGTTCACCCTACTACAACAATGTTGATATTTTGGTAAATTAATTCATGCCAATCAGATTGAAGGATAAAAGTTTGAAATATGGCAAAATCCTGTTGTATTGGCAAGCCCAAGGAAGGAAAGTTTTTAGCTGCCAGTAATGATTTCGATGAGATGGTTGGACAGTGTCATCGAAGCCACCAACATGAATCTGATCCAACTCCAGGAGGCAGTGGAAGACAGGAGGGCCTGGCATGCTCTGGTCCATGGGGTCATGAGGAGTCAGACACGGCTTAATGACTAAACAACAACAAGTAAATATTAAGGAAGGGAGGTGTTCCCCAAGGAGTGATTCCCCAGATCACCACAAAAGATAAAGATGACTCAACTTCCTTCTTTGGAGTGCATTTATTTTCCAGTAAAGAGCACACTCAGACATGTTGATCCTATTTCTGAAAGAAAGACAGGTGAGTAGAACCTTCATAGTTTTTCCTCAGTAAAGACAGCTACTTTAAGATGCTTTGCATTTTACTTCTGAAAGCAGAGCAAAATGTTGGATACATAATTGGATTTATGGAGGTAATTTCAATTCTTGAATGAGAACTGTTTCAAAAAACTAGATAGAAAAAGGTAATACAAAACATAATATGTTTAGGCTTTTTTAAAATATAGGAACAATTAGTTTTCATAACTTAAGATTCATTGATGTATAATGGCTCTAAGACTATTTGAATCCAAAAAGAATTTGAAAATTCTTCTGTGGATCAAGGAAAAGAAACTGTACCTGTCAAAATGACTCAAAACTCCTGTCAGCCAGAACCATGGCTGACTGCCAGTGATCAGAAATGGTGGGCATTTATATCCAGAAATGTCTGGCAGATCAAATGTTTCCACCCTGGCTGCAGATTGTTGATGATTGATGGTTCAGAACTCTACACTGTTCTTCAACAATGGGACCTTATTTAGGGAAGCAGCTCCTTGGTATCTTCTTAAGTGGGTTCTTGAAAACCAAACCAAACCAACGATTCCATAGGAAAATCAAATTGAAAGCATTACAGTGTCCAAAAAGAGAGAGCTTGTTCTCTTTTATTTCTGATAAAAGCATCAATAGTATCTGTGAACTTCAAAATTTCTATGTCAGAACACTGTGCCCGTATCCCAAATCCCCTGGCGAGTTCCCCTTTGCATGTGTTGGTTTATATTCTAGATACTTAAGGGGAAAACTCTTTATATTGGAATGAAATTAGAGGGGGACTTTATTCTCTTTTTTAAATTTTGGTTAAACCAATGTCCCCCCCTTTATTCTGCTTTATTTCCCCCACAATGAGAAACAGAGCTGACTATTTTGTACTTAGAGAGGCAGAGATGTTTATTCATGATACACCATACATGTGCGAAGAAAAATGGCATGCATACATGTAGGAGTTTTGTTTTTCAAATTCAGTGAATGATGCAGAAATGGGTTTCAGTGGGCAGATTCATGAAGAAGAGTGAACTTTTCTGTTACAGAGTTTGCCAATAAGATTGTATCAAGTAGATGTAGAAGAATGCACAGTAAAGTGGAAATAATTCCAGAAATAAGAAGTAAGCTGTTTGTTCATTTAGCTGTTGAGGTATCTATTTTATTTTTGTATAAGTAAATAATAAATAAATGTATAAGACTACCCATGTTAGCCATAAAAGAAATATAACATGACAAATATTTATACATGGCATCATAATATAGACATCGAAACACAGAGATCATGGTTGGTTGGTAAGGAAATCAGTGGGAGTTTAACATTTTGGTGATAGGCATTTCATTGAAGCTTTGTGCTGTAAATAGTGGGAGTTTAACATTTTGGTGATTGTGTCTTTGATATGCAGGCATTTCATTGAAGCTTTGTGCTGTAAAGGGTATGAGAACCTCTGTCATAAAATTACAATGGTAGAGTGAAATGAATATTAGTTAGATTGGCCTTTTACAGTTGCTAATGAATTTTCCCACACTACACACCTCCCTCTGTAATCATTTGCAATGGTGTGTAAATTACACCAGGCGATGGATGACCAGAAGAGCAGAGAGAATAATCTGTTTTACCTTTGAAGTTTCAATAATTGTCTTATAACCGTAACATTATATAGCATGCCAATGACTACAGTGTGAAAATCTGGAGCATTATTTTTTCCTTTCCTTTGTGTACAGAGGAATGTGTGTTTTCATATTTCTTTTATACATCATTTATAAAGTGCAATTTAAACAGCAGATACTTTTCTTTTTCTTTAACAGTTGTGTAGTGGGGCTAATCACGGAACAAAGGAAGGCTAATTGCCTTAGAGAGAGAACAAAGGAGTCAACAGTGGATGTCCAAGCCAAGGAAGCCAACTGACAATGTCCTGAGAGCTCTTTTTTTGCTTTGGGAGAGAGAACAAAGGAGTCAACAATGGATGCCCAAGCCAAGGATGCCAACTGACAATGTCCTGAGAGCTCTTTTATTTACTTAGCATGATTACATAATATGTTATGAGAGAGACAGATAGGATACTAGTTACCTATTCGTAACTAGGACTGGCTGAAATAACCCTTTGATCTTATGCTCTACCTCTAAGCAAAAGGCAGGAATAAGGGGTTATCCTGCTTGCTGGCAGCTGCTGCTTCCTGCCAGGAGTGTATGCACGTCACTGGAACAGAATGCAGCTACAGTCTTTAAGCAGAAGTTTCCCACAGTGTAGGAACCTACGTAGTAACCCTGCTGTGCAGGTCCTTGTCTGAAACTAGAAAAGGACCTGCACAGCACAAGGTTTCCCACAGTGTATGAACCAGTGTACTGTAGTAACCCTGCTGTGCAGGTCCCTTTCTGAAACTAGAAAAGGACCTGCACAGCACATGTGCAATGTATACTGTGAATATCAGAGTAGCTGATTCTTTTCTGCCTCACAGATGTCACTAAATTGAATTTGAGCTAAGCTCAGCTTTTTAGACTGTGGAGTAATTTGTCATAGCTTTCTGCTCTCTTCCTTTTTCCTCCCAGACAGTATCTTGCTATTTAAAACAGTGGAAGAGAAGACATGCCAAACCAAACATCTAAGACAGAATTCCTACTCTTGGAATTCTCCAGTGTCCGAGAATTACGGATAGCACAATTTGTTGTGTTCCTGGTTTTCTACTTGGCTGCCCTTGTAGGAAATCTCCTCATCATCTGTGCAGTAACTGTTGAGCATCGTCTTCACACGCCCATGTATTTCTTCTTGATGAACCTAGCCATGACTGATCTTGGATCTGTTTCCACCACTATCCCTAAATCCATGGCTAATTCCCTGATGAACACCAGGTTGATTTCTTATTTTGGGTGTGTTGCTCAAGTTTATCTCTTTTTGCTCTTTGGAGGATCAGATTACGCCCTTCTCACTATCATGGCATATGACCGGTATGTTGCCATCTGTAATCCACTACAATATGGCTTAATTATGAACACAGGGGCTTGCATTCAGATGGCAGGGGCTGCGTGGGTCAGTGGTCTTCTCTATGGGGTTTTGCACACTGGTAGCATCTTTGCCACCACATTTTGCTCCAATATTGTTGACCAGTTTTTTTGTGAGCTCCCACAGCTGTTAAAAATCTCCTGTTCTACATTATCTGTACTTGAAAATGTGTTCCTTGTTGTAAGTTTTATTGTTGCCTTTGGTTGCTTTGTCTTTATACTCATGACATATGTGCAAATTGTCACCACTGTGCTGAAAATGCCCTCATCTCAAAGAAGGCAAAAGGCATTCTCTACATGCCTTCCTCACCTCATTGTTTTCTCTATGCTTCTCTTCACTGGAACATTTGTCTATCTTAGACCACAATCTCATGACTCCTCACCTACAAATATGGTTTTTGGTGTCATCTATTCTGTGATTCCTCCCATGATGAACCCAGTAATCTACAGCATGAGAAATAAGGAGATTAAGGATGCGTTGTCAAAACTTTTAGGCTTGAAGTAGCTTGCCAAGAGTTCATTTTATCATTCTCTTCTGTGACCATGAATTTGTATTTATTTAGCTATGAACGTTGATTGATCAAGGCATTTGTCTGCTGTGCAAATCAATGCATGAGAGAGCATGAATAAACTTGTTCCTCTGTCACTTTCACCAACTGATAAAAAATAACTCTAACATGGAAAGACATTTCTATTTATGAATGAGCACCACATTCTGTTTATTGTCTGAACTCCAAATTATGTAGGAGCCTCAAAACATATGGGAGACTCCGCAGAAAATATCACAAGTTATTCTTTCAGTCTGTTGTAAAGAAGAACAGATAGAGCTACCATGCTCATCCTTGCTTTCCTGTTTCTGTATTGATTAAACTCAGAAGATGAATCATTGATATGATTAACAATATTCTATTACATAAATGTTTTTCCCTACCCAACTGAGATGTAAATCTTTCTCATTTTTGTCAGTAAGAATGTGAATGTTCTCCCCCCCCACCCCCAATTGCTTGAGAGAATATAAGGCATTTTCTCTTTGTCTGAATGAAACTTTTTGCATTCATAAGAATTACCTTTGCTCAAGTGAAATAAAAAATGCACATGGTCCAGAAACTCAATGGCAGCTGCTTTGTTTCTTGGGCATTTAAGAAACATTGGATTAAATGAGGAAAAATACCCACTTATGACTAATAATATTTTGTTAGCAGAATGTTTGTATATACGATAGGTGGGCAAATGTTGTCTTGTCCTTGTCTGTGAGAACAAGAATGAGGAAACATATTCTCATCTATCAGAAAGTGACATATTTTTCTTGCATTGTCCTCTTCACCTCTGAAAGAGAAATGACTATAGTTTTGCGCACAGATATTTTTGAGTATGTCATGCGTACTTTCATGGGGAAAAGAGCTCCAGTTTTATTCTCACATTGGAGATGAGGAGACTATTAGAGTTTGGAAATTCCTCACAAAGGTATCTCATTGTGTCGAAACATTCTAAATCACTGAAAATAAGGAATTCAATTAATATTCTCCACCTCTGTAGTATGTAGCCAGAGACTGAAGAGCATCAAAATCAAAAGGAATTTAGAATGGGCAGCTTTGGTTGCAATTAATGACAGGTTAAATATTATTTTCTAATATTCCCCTAAGGGTGTCTATGGGGCACATGCATATACTGTATGTGCTTCAGAATGTAAAGTGCACAGAAAAGTACACTGAATGAAATGTTCTTCTGAAGCAATGGGTACATATCCCATATGTGCACAATCTGAACATGCTTTAGTCAGGACGGTTCATTGAAACAATGTGCAAAGTTTGAAACATACATACAAAAATACGTACATGGGGGAGGGAAAGGGAGGAGGAAAGCGATGGATTTCTTCCACAAAGGAAATTGACCAAAAAACATGATAGTAAGAAAACATATGGATTTTCATGGATGTATGTTTTTTAGATGTGAACAATCCTAAAGCCAGTTTTGTTTGGCACTTTTAGTTGGGAGCAAAAATGTAGGTGATTATTTGCACATGATTTTTGTATTAAAAGCTTTTCTGAACTTCACCCAGCTCGTGATATATCTCATTGCACCCGGATTTAATAGAACACATAACAGTGCATATCGGCATTTCTGGAATGAAGTTGCCGTTTAAAAAATGTATTTTGATCTATATCCCACTTACTCATTTTTCAAGAAATAATTTAATTATTAAAGCTAAATGGGTGTAACAAGAGATAATCAAATTAGTGGCTAGTAGCAAATAATCACACTCTCCCATGGAATGTTTTTACAAAAACCAGCATTGATTTTTAAGCTATAATTCAATCCACCACACTAGTATTAAGAGCCTGAACAATTGATTCTTTTTAATATATAGGTAATTCTGGTTATAACAAGTTAATTGATGGACCATCCACAAAGTGTTGTTATCTGTTCTAGTCCTAGTGTTATGTTCCACCCACCAGCATGAGATAAATGAGCTGAGAGTGTAGCTAGCAAGGATTTACCCAGGCAACTAGGATTTTGCTCCAGGGTGCCAAATTTAAAAGATGATATTTTCCTATTAAATTCCAGGATAGGCAGGCCATGTGGCAAGTCTAAGCAGAGCAGAGAAAGGCGGCCAGTATATCAGGCCTTAATGGGACATTGCAGGATAGATCTACCCAGGAATCAGAAGCCTGGACTTCAAAATTGTTCATAGTGTGGGCTGTTCTAACTGAATATCTAGAGATACAGAGATAATGTGTTATGAATTAATGGAGTTATTGAAACTGTGTTTGGCCTTTATGCACCTTAGCACTACAGGAAAAGAAACTGCAACTGCAATTTTCATTCCCCTGTAGTGGTCTTTTATCGCTTGTATTTCCTTGGAATATATGAATAAATCAGATTAGACTGATCTATATGGAAGGCCCATCAGACTCCTGTTTGTGTTTTATATGCACTGTAGAAAGAATATATATAATAGGAGACTTAATTCTTCATTCGTTTTATTAATTGTTCTCAATGTAACCCAGAAAAAACAACACTGGACATTAGAATGAAAAATCTGTCCATGGTTACTAAGTATTTGCATTAGTGCTCAGGTAGTCTGGAAGAGGTGAGGACATTAGAATGAAAAATCTGTCCACTACCTGAGCACATTAGTGCTCAGGTAGTCTGGAAGAGGTGACACCCAAACTTTGGAAAATGTTAGCCTAAATAAGGCAATACATCTGGCCAATTTGAAAAGGACATATAACTTTCTGGTTAAGAAATCCACAGTTAAGCTTATGATACAGATGAATCTCAGGTAGCTAAAGACAGTATAAAACATGTTAATGTACTATTCATTGCATTATGCTGTAACCTTTTCTGCTGTTGTCTGAATAGCCACCTTTCAAAATGGAGGATGTATTCTTAGTCACACTGCACAAATCATTTGCCGAACAGAGAGCAGAGAAAAACACCACAGAGCTCATCGGCCTTCTTCTCCCCAAGCATTTTCTCATATTTAATATGATTTGGTATTTATGAAAGACAAAACCACTGGGATAGATTTGCCTAACATAGAAGAGACTGAGAGATCTTTTCAGCCAAACACAGCTGCTGCAATTGTTTCTAGTCCTTATATTCTACTAGTGTGTTACAAATGTCTGAAATCAAGATGACAAAAGACACGTACAAACAGAAGGGCTCTGCAGAAGATGAAATCTCTCTGATCTAATCTATGAAATTCTCTTGTACTATTCTTAAAATGTTAATACTACTAATAGTTGTGTGCTGTCAAGTCAATTCTGACTTATGGTGACCCTTTTCATGGTTTTCTATGTAGAGAACACTCAGAAGTGTTTTACCATTCCCCTGTTCTGATGGCGCCCTGGGATTTTGTAGCTCACCTAAGGCCACAAATGCTGACTCTGCTGGGATGCACAGTGGGGCATTGAACTCCCAAACTCCTGCTCAATAGCCAAATGCTTAATTCACTGAACTATCCAACCAGCTCTACATTAAAAAAAAAATACAGTCAGTATAGGCTTATTTAAACAAGAAATCTACATACTTTGTCCAATGGATTCAGGGACAAATTAGCATTGACATATATGATTCCTTTGTTTCTGAATACAGTGGTGCCCTGCTTAACGATTATCCCATTTAACAATGAAATCGCTTCACGATGTGTTTTTTGCGATTGCCATTGTGATTGCAAAATGATGATTGAATGGCATTTTTTCGTTTCATGATGATCGGTTCCCTGCTTTGGGAACCAATATTTCACTTTATGACTATCAGAGAACAGCTGATCGCCTGGTTTCAAAATGGCCACCCGCTGTTCAAAATGGCTCCCCTCTATGCTTAGGACGGATTCCTCACATTACAGGCACCAGAAAATGGCCACCCTATGGAGGATCTTCGCTGGACGTTGAGGTATTTCGCCCATTGGAACGCATTGAGCGGTTTTCAATGCGTTTCAATGGGCTTTTTACTTTCGTTTGACGATGATTTCATTCTACAGCGATTTCGCTGGAACAGATTAATGTTGTCAAGCAAGGCACCACTATCACATTTATGTCAAAACTACAGTTTTATTTATCATATCTCATTCAGAATAACTGTGATTCATACTAAACAAATCTGAAATATGAGAAAGGGAAAAAATCAGCATTCTTCGTCAGTGTGTTGGATGAATGAGTTTACAACAAAAAGGTTTCAAAAAAATCTTAGTTTGCAGAAATTGTGCTCACTGCCTGTACGTTACATATGAAGAAATATATAATGAAGATTTGCAGTTATACAAGCATTAAATAGGAAAAGTGGGAAGAGGGTGACATTGGAGATGAAATTGCCTGTTCTTCACCCACAGGTACTCAGACCAAAATGTAGACTGCCCAGACGGTGTGAAATTTATACATTTTTTGGATTTTCCACATAGCTTCTTGAATCTCC